TTACTGCACAACAAACTCTTTTAGTGAAGCGAGCTCAAAATGAAGGGTAGCAACCATTGCGTCATTCAGGGTGAGTCCAGTACTTACTGTACTGAGCATAAAAAAAAACATTTCAAGATGGAGAAATATTCAGAGGCCTTTTAGAAGCAGCAGATTCGTTGTTTGAAAACCTCAAAAATAAGTCTGAAATACTGTTTTCTATTAAGGATGTTCAGTCATCAAGAAACACTGTCATGAGGCGCTGTGAATTCATGGCTGAGGATTTGGGTGAACAACTGAATAAAGACATACAGGAGTGTGTTCTTTTCATTACAATTTGATGAGTCTACTGATGTGGTCGATACATCACAATCATGTATTTTCATTAGACTGGTGTTTAAAGACACGAGTACCAAAGAGGAACTGCCAAAAATTCTACCATTAAAAGGAAAAACTCGGGATGAAGACTTATTTCAGACTTTCAGTGATTTTGTTAATAGTACACAGTTGCCAGTAAGCTCATATCTAAAAATACTGATGGGGCACATGCATTGGCTGGCCGAATCAGTGGGTTCATTGCCCTGTGCAGGAGTGATGATAGGTTTCCTAACTTCTTTTTTGGCCTCAAAAGATTGGCCTTTTGATCAAAACGAAGTGTGGCTGTTAGATTTAGCTTTTTAAGTTGACATGACTGCTATGTTGAATAAACTAAACTTAGATCTGCAAGGGAAAGATAAAACTAGTTGACATGATTAGTCCTGTGGCTGCTTTCAAGCAGGAACTAAAACTAGTGTCTTCGCAGCTGCATCAACATCAACTATGAAACTTCAGAACTATGATGTCTGAACTAGAAAACCAAGGAAAAGACTGTGACCAGTTTGTCAGTGCTCGATATATTGAACAGGAATAAAACCTTGACTCATATTTTGACAGACGGTTTCAAGATATAGCAACAATAGAACCTGTTGAAACATATATGTGTTTTCCATTTGGTAAAATCACAAATGTTGAAGATATTGCATCTAGAATGGCATCAGTATTTAACATGGACATATCTGAAGTAGAAAATGAGCTTCTGAAGCTTAAAAATGATACTCAGATCAAATCCAGGGCAACAGGAGGAAGTTTCTTTCTCAGTGAAGAAAAATATCCCATTGTCAGAAAATGTGCCATGTACCTCACAGCATTTTTTGGATCAACCTTCCTTTGTGGGTCAACATTTTCACACATGAAACACATCAAATACCGATCAACAATATCAGATGAACACCTGGATGAGGCTAGCAGTCACCGCCTAAGTCAGACAACATGCGGAGCTCAACACCTGGATGAGGCTAGCAGTCACCACCTACAGTCAGACAACATGCGGAGCTCAACACCTGGATGAGGCTAGCAGTCACCACCTACAGTCAGACAACATGCGGAGCTCAACACCTGGATGAGGCTACCAGTCACCGCCTACAGTCAGACAACATGAGGAGCTCAACACCTGGATAAGGCTACCAGTCACCGCCTACAGTCAGACAACATGCGGTGCTAACCATCTCATTAGTAAAGCAAGTTTATCATTTTGTCATGTTAACAATATATTAAAACAATTATTGAAAAATATTATTTGTTTACTCTCTCTCTCCGTATTTTATGGCAATGGGTGAATATTAGGCTGGTAGATCGCGTCAAGGTAACTGTGGAAAAAATAGATCACTTAACACAAAAGGTTGGCCACCCCTGATGTACAGTATATGAACACAGTAATAAGGTTAAATGTCGTACAGTAGCTTCTCAAATTTCGCGAGTTTTTAATTCAACGTTTTCTATTTGAACACAAAAAAAACAACACATTTAAAAATTTTGACGGCGGAAACTCGAATTTCGACGGGTTTGAACGGCCCGCCAACGTTCAGACGACGTGCACAATCGTGTAAACAGCGTCATTTCTCTTGTGTACAAAAGATTCATTATTGTTTATTACCGAGTCTTTTTGATTGAATTATTGTTTGTGTGTGCAAAATGACCAATACAATTCATTAATAATGCATAGAATATTAAAACACGAGGAAATGAGACAGCATTGTTTTCGTTGATTACAAAACCAGTGACTGACTGGTTCTACATATAAAACTGAAGAAAATAAGACCCTGGTTGTAGCTGTAGTAAAATGAATATGGTTGTTTTAAGTAATGTTATTTAATGTTAATAAATGGAACAATAGAAGTAGCTAACGATAATGGTAAAGAAAAAAAAGATCGCGTATGTAAGTGCGCACACGTGAAAACATATCGTCATTACTTTACACAAGAATATGAAAGCAACACTTATTTACTGTTCATATATATATTTTAATTAATGTTTCTGAATTTGTTTTTATTGAATTAATGTGTGTGTGAAAAATTAACAATACAATTTATTAATAATACGTGGAATATTAGAGGAGACGAGACGGCTGCCGGCATTGTTTTTGTTAAAGCTTACAAAACCAGTGACTGATTGGTTCTACATATAAAACTGAAGAAAACAAGACCCTGATTGTAGTTGTAGTAAAATTAATGTAAAGAAATTAATATGGTTGTTTGAAGTACCTGTAATGTTATTTAATGTTAATAAATGGAACAATATAAGTAGCTAACCATTAATGGTAAAAAAAAGTGAGACTGCACGTATGTAAGTGCGCACATGTGAAAACATATCGTCATTACTCTACATAAGAATATGAAAGCAACACTTATTTACTGCTCATATATATTGAAGGGTTAAATGTTGTACTCTGTATAGACAAGCAGAGAGAGAGAGCAGCCGAACTGCCGGATGTAAACAAACCTTAATTTCCGGCGATTCTGTTATTGTTGTTTTTTACGGGGATTAGCCCACCCGGGCATAGGTTACTCACCCACATTGGAGATTGAGGGGCAAAAATTTAATACTCCTGTAATAATATTTCAGATAAAAAAAACAGAAGCTGCCTATCTACCTATTGGACAAACTAAAATCGTTCCGGACCACAGAATGCCGGACTAGAGAGGTACAACCTGGACTACACATATTACAGTACTCATTTATGAACAACAATTTCTACTTCAACATCAAGATCTCTGATGATGATGATATGTGGCATTCACCCTCATTATGTGGTCAATATGCGCTAGTACAGTATGTGTAACCTCCATATAACGAACTCTCATCTCAATATAGTTCGTTAAATAGAGGTTTCACAGTCCATGAGTCAGCTTGGTTGGCAAACACAGTCATCACCACCAACAGTCATCACCACCAGCACCACCAACAGTTACCACCACCAACAGTCATCACCACCAGTCACTCATTGCCAATTTCTCTTCATATTTGGACAATTAAATAAAACAATTAGTTACTAGATAAACACATTTCATATTTTATAATTGTTTAAATGTTTCGTAAATTATTATTATATTTTGCTATGTACAGTAGAATTGTGTTTGAGAAATAATTTAGTGTTTTGTGGTGGGTTATACTGTACTACAACACTTGTACTTATAACCATCAACAAAACACTCCCTTAAACAGAAACACTAAACAGAACTAAAAAAAAAACTGTTTGATGGAGACTCTAACTTCCTTTTCTTCCCGGCATTTGACTCTTTATTCATGGTCTTCACAACACACAATGCAGGTCTTTACGACAGTCGATATTATTTTACTTTTCAACTTTTCCGAAGACATTTGTCGTGAGAAGACTCCGTAACAGTTGCTACAAAGGTCAACGTAGGGGGTGGGGGAAGTTCACTGTGTACGTATGTTACACTATGTGACGGGGAAGGTCTGTGTAGAGAGGTCGGACGGCGCGGGTGAGGGCCGAGGGAGTGATGACGTCAGATGATCGACTCCGCCTGCGTCTCCTTGTACTCGACAGGCAGAGCCCAGTGTTACCCAGGCCATTGTGTGTACACTGTCTGAGGGTTTAACTCTGAGAAGCACAAGTCCCAAATGTTATGAATATCTGAAAACTATAAAAGGAATCCCGAGTAAAACAACTCTTAAAGAACGGGCCAAGAATTTGTCATTCAAACGTGGCATCTTACACTCTGTGCTGTCACTCATGAACACAAAGTCTGACACTTTAGTCCACTTGAAAGGTTTGCCGTGATACCATTAGATGAAATGGCCATTGCAAGTAAATTGAGTTATGACAAAGGTAAGGATATCCTATATAAACCTCATGAGAAAGTCCAGGTCGTCATGCTAGGCGGGCTGGTAGGCAGTTGGAAGCAGCCAAATTTTTATGACTTTGATGTCCCAGATATACAAAAGATCTTGTTAACTTTAATAGAAGAGCTTGAGCATGAAGGTCACCCTGTCGTTGCAATGGTGCAAGACGTAGGGTCCAGTAACCTTAAGGTGTTGACAAAATTTGACATTGATCCTGTTGGAAAAAAAGAAATTTTCATTCCAAAACCCGAGTCATGATCGGGATAAATTCTCAATTCAGGATTTTACCTCAAGACTGGAAGCTGTATAACTGATTCCTGTATTTGGGAAATGATGACAGCAAGTAAGAAAGAGTTTGGTTTAGAATACAAACTATGTGAAATGAATTTAAATGTATGGGAGGGAGGGGGGGGGCAGCAATGACAGCAGGTTAAATATGAAGACCAAATGTTGTCAAAAACTTGTTCTATCTCACTGAAATATATTGGAGAGTAGAAATTGGAAGGGACGAAAGCGGCCAGACCTTTTACAACGCCCTTTTAGATAGTCCCTCTTACTACAGCTACATCTTTCTCAACTAAACCTTCCCATACCAGGAGAGAGAGAGAGAGAGGCCAGCCAGCTATATTTCATGCGACGTCACTGTGCAGAGCGATCAAAAACTAGACCACTGTCGGTCCGACCTCTCTACACTGACTTTGGTGAGACACAAACAATTGAGCAAGAGTGCCTGGGTAACTCAGTGGCACAAGGGTCTACTGTACATGTTCCAAGCTGTTAATTATTACACTACTTATGACGAGGGAATAACTGTACACTCGTTGAGAAATAAAACACAATAACTGTCGCTAATTTATACAAAGTACACATTCAACTCTTAACAGTAGTAAAATGCCAATGTTATTATTATGTAGTAATGCTGGGTAGCCATTGGTTAAAATATAAATAAAAATAAAAAAACAACACAGTAAAATTAATAATCTAGCCGAGATGTGGCATTATGTGCCGACTGGGAGGGAAGTGGTGGCTTGATTTGACGTTGACACAGCGGCAGTGAGAGATGATCGTGTACCTGAGGAGAAGAAACGCTTATAATGACCATCTCTCCCACACCAGGAAACAAATTATAGTCATCCCTTCAATATGTTCACCTACAGGGGCAAAATATCATCAGTTCACCTTCAGATTTTTTTATACAAGTTACTCCTTAATATATTCACTTAAAAGGGTATAAGACGCCCCCCCCCAAGGATGGCTCCCCACCCCCCCCTCACATGGGACTCAAACAAGGGAGAATATTAAGGGGTTTAAAACAGCTATTTTATCTCCTCAAGTTTAAAATGACCCACACCTTTAGCTGAGCCGCCATGACCCCACACCTTTAGCTGAGCCGCCATGACCCACACCTTTAGCTGAGCCGCCATCTGTCTTGCCGCCGATGTTTTGGTTTTTTAGTTAAAATAGAAATGTGAATAATGGAAATTTTGTCCAGTGTAATATTACCTCATGTACCTTAACCTGACTTAACTTAACCTGACTTAACCCAACTTAACTTAACCCAACTTAACTTAACCTGACTTAACCCAAGTTAACTTAACCTGACTTAACTTAACCTGACTTAACTTAATCTGACTTGACTTAACCTGACTTGACTTAACCACAAAGTTGAGAAACAATAAACTGACTAATTAAGCTTAGATAATAAAGAAATGATCATTAAAGCTTAGAAAGACACAGACTGACTTGGCCAAATAAGCTTAGAATGATAAAGCTTAGTAAGATTTAAGAAATACAAGAAAATAATGATCTAATATACTTATAAAGAAAGCTTAGAGGTACAACAAGAGATGGAAAGCTTAGAGGTACAACAAGAGATGGAAAGCTTAGAGATACAAGAGATGGAAAGCTTAGAGGTACAACAAGAGATGGAAAGCTTAATGAGGAATAAGAGATTGAAAGCTTAGAGGTACAACAAGAGATGAAAAAGCTTAGAGATACAACAGATGGAAAGCTTAGAGATACAACAAGAGATGGAAAGCTTAGAGATACAACAAGAGATGGAAAGCTTAGAGGTACAACAAGAGATGGAAAGCTTAGAGGTACAACAAGAGATGGAAAGCTTAATGAGGAATAAGAGATTGAAAGCTTAGAGGTACAACAAGAGATGAAAAGCTTTGAGATACAACAAGAGATGAAAAGCTTTGAGATACAACAAGCGATGGAAAGCTTAGAGATACAACAAGAGATGGAAAGCTTAGAGATACAAGAGATGGAAAGCTTAGAGATACAACAAGAGATGGAAAGCTTAGAGGTACAACAAGAGATGGAAAGCTTAGAGGTACAACAAGAGATGGAAAGCTTAATGAGGAATAAGAGATTGAAAGCTATACATACACACAGGAGGTCCAGTAAGCTTATATACATGCACAGCTGTTACAGTAAGCTTACACACATACAGCAAAGCCTCAAGACACACACAGTAAGCCTAAACACACACATTAAGCTTACAGACACACAGAGTAAGCTTAGACACACACAGGGAGCTCTGACACACACAGTAAGTTTACTGACACAGGAAGGTCTGACACGCAGAATAAGCTTAGACATGCACAGTAAGCTTAAACACACACAGGAAGCACTGGCACACAGAGTAAGCTTAGACACACAAGAAGCTGACACTGAGTAAGCTTACACATACAGCAAGCTTACAGACACAGGAAGCTCTGACACACAGAGTAAGCTTAGACAAACAGGAAGCACTGACTCACACAGTAGGCTTAGCCACACACAGTAAGCTTAGACACACCCAGGAAGCTCTGACACACCCAGGAAGCTCTGACACACCCAGGAAGCTCTGACACACCCAGGAAGCTTAGACACACCCAGGAAGCTCTGACACACAGAGTAAGCTTAGACACACCCAGGAAGCTTAGACACACCCAGGAAGCTTAGACACACAATAAGCTCAGACACAGTAGGTCAGCCTATAGGTAAATAACTTACGATGGTTCGGCCACGACATTCTTTTTGGTTAACCAGAAATTCTGTAGTGGAGAAAAAAATGGTGGGGTAAATATTACAACCAAACCTCAATTGACCTGACCTGGTATGATCTGACCTGGTATGACCTGACCTGGTATGACCTGACCTGGTATGATCTAACTTGGTATGACCTGATCTGGTATGATCTGACCTGGTATGATCTGACCTGGTATGATCTAACTTGGTATGACCTGGCCTGGTATGACCTGACCTGATTGGTTCATTTTTGTCCCAGTCAATGTCACCTATGTGGTGATTGGTTGAAGTTCATACATAAATACATATAAGGTGAGAACAGTTGCTGTGTGTTTAGTGTGGACAGAACCTTGGGAGGGAGAGATGTATTGGCTGTTGGAACATCTACTCAATACATGCCAGAAAAATATTGTGCAAAATATGATTGAAGGAACAGTAACTATTGGCCCATACTGGACAGTCCCGTTAACACCCAACCCCTATCACTCATATATCCACCCAACCTAACCTAACCTACCCAGCGTGTTCTAGTTAATGACGATGTTTGGTAACTTGTTCCAGTAGTCCACTACTCTATTTCCAGGCCAATGTTTACCTATCTCGCGCCTAAATCTAAATTTGTCTAATTTAAAACCATTGTTACGAGTTCGCTCCTGGTTGGATAGTTTGAGTACCTTTGTTATATCACCTTTGTTTAGTCCTGACTTCCATTTATACACCTCTATCATATTGCCCCTCACTCTACGTCTCTCGAGGGAGTGTAAATTAAGATGCTTTAACCTGTCTCTGTACTCAAGGTTCCTAATGCCCGGGATTAGACTTGTCATTCTCCTCTGAACTGCGTAATCCAAGTGAGGTCTAACAAGCACAAGATATAGTTTTAGGATGACCTCGCTAGTCTTGTAACTAACACTCCTTTGTATGAACCCAAGTACTTTATTAGCCTTGTTCCCAGCTAATACACATTGTTTACTTGGTTTAAGATTCCTACTCATCATTACTCCTAAATCTTTCTCTCAGTCGGATTTCTCTATATCATCGTTGTTCATCTGGTATCTGGTTTCCCTGTTTACATCTCCTATACTGGGTACTTTACATTTGTCCACGTTGAATTTCATCTGCCATTTTTCTGACCATTCGAAAAAATTGTCTAGATCTTCCTGTAGTTTTGCGGAGTCCTCGTCAGCTTTAATTACACGCCCTATTTTAGTGTCATCAGCAAATTTACTTATGTTGTTGTCTACGCCAATATCTATGTTATTTACGTATATGATAAATAATAATGGTCCAAGTACTGAGCCTTGGGGTACTCCACTAGTGACGTTGCTCCAATCGGATTTAGCGTCGTTAATGCTCACTCGCTGTTTCCTGTCCTGTAACCACGCCCTAATCCATTTTAGAATATCTCCTCCAATGCCATGAGCCTCCACTTTTCTTATTAGCCTTTCGTGGGGGACTCTGTCGAAGGCTTTGCTTAAGTCAAGATATACCACATCATAGTCGTGCCCCTCATCCACTGATTCAAAAACAGATGAAAGTAATGTTAATAGATTAGTTAAACATGAATGCCCACTTGTGAAGCCATGTTGGGAATCATTGATCAACTTGTGCTTCTCCAGGTGAATTGAATAGAGTTTGAAATGATTGTTTCCAGTAATTTGCCCACAATTGATGTTAGACTGATTGGACGGTAGCTAGAGGATAGTGATCTATCTCCCTTCTTGAAAACCAGTATTACATTCACTATATTTGGGTGTTCCTAAACCAAAGTGTGTGTGTGTGTGTGTGTGTGTGTGTGTGTGTTTCAGTAAGTAAATCAATAAAGATCATTATCCAGCAGCATCCTACTGGTAAAGACCTGTTGTGATAATATATTGATGAGGAGTGAACTGACACAAACATTAACCTAACCTAACTTAACCTAACCAAAACTAACACAGGTATAATATACCTAACCTAATTTAAACTGATAACCTAACGTAACCTAACCTAATCGAACCAACCATAACCTAACCTTTGTTTGGTTGTAATAGTGTGAAGGAAATGATTTAAAACACAAGAGAGTGAATTTGTTCTAGCAACACTGGCACACAACACAAAACTCCACAAAATATCTCCACTAAAGAATTTCTGGTTCGTAAAAAAAAACAAAAAAACAAAACACCAAGTTCTTTTTACACGGCAGCCAAAAACAAGAACAACGGTTCATTTACAACTCACTGTGGTGGTTGTTGTGGGGGTGTTGTAAGGAGGACCCAGTGTGTGTGGCCGGGTTAGGACTGCTCGGTACACCAGGTGTGTTGGGTGTGTTCTGGTGGACCTTCTGACGTACTTCTCTTATCTTGAGTATCAGACAGTTCTTGGTAGGGAAGATGTCCGAGTATCGAGACTGGAATGCTGCGACGGCTTGGGCTGTGAGGGGGTTACAATTAGTTCACACACACACAGAATAAAGTAGAAATATACGCACATATCCTCAACTTACATACACACATACAGTAAAGTAGCAATATACACACATACTTTACTCTGTGTGTGTGTGTGTGTTGAGGATATGAACACATATGTGCGTACATTTCCGCTTGTTGTCTTAGCAGAGGCAGGTCCAGGACTATCAAAATGGGGTGGACGGCGGTGTAATATAATGGCCATTTTGAGGTCATGTTATATTAGGAGATATTCTGAGGTCAATAGTAATACTTTTCTACTATATATACAAAAGTCTGAGTACAATACTGTAATAAAGAAAAACTATTGGAAGTAGCTGATCAAAAGGAGGGTACGGACCCTTAGGACAGCGCCCCCCCCCCCCTCCTGGATCTGCCCCAGCTTAGTGCTTTACTGTCAGATTGTATAAGCTTAACTTAACTCAATTTAATGGATTATATAGAGATGAAAGTCCATTATATCGAGGGTTTGTTAGATGGTGAGAGAGAAGTTCATTATAGGGGGGTTATAACTATAATTCATTCTCTCTCTCTCTCTCTCTCTCTCTCACCAGATGGGAACCAGCTCGCTCTCTCTCTCACCAGATGGGAACCAGTCAGCTTCTCTCTCACCAGATGGGAACCAGCTCTCTCTCTCCCTCTCTCTCTCACCAGATGGGAAACTTAGCTCTCTCTCTCTCACCAGATGGGAACCAGCTCTCTCTCACCAGATGGGAACCCAGCCTCTCTCTCTCTCACCAGATGGGAACCAGCTCTCTCTCTCTCTCTCTCTCTCTCTCTCTCACCAGATGGAACCAGCTCTCTCTCTCTCTCTCTCTCTCTCTCTCTCACCAGATGGGAACCAGCTCTCTCTCTCTCTCTCTCTCTCTCTCTCTCTCTCTCTCACCAGATGGGAACCAGCTTTCCCTCTCTCTCTCTCTCTCTCTCTCCTCACCAGATGGGAACCAGTCAGCTTCTCTCTCACCAGATGGAAATCCAGTCAGCTCTCTCTCACCAGATGGGAACCAGTTTCTCTCTCTCTCACCAGATGGGAACCAGCTCATTTCTCTCTTCTCTCACAATTAGATGGAACCAGCTCGCTCTCTCTCTCTCTCTCTCTCTCTCTCACCAGATGGGAACCAGCCATATTCAGTAAAGAGCTGCATCACAAGGGTGCGCCTCTGATCCAGGATGTGCCTCAAGGATGAATGGCTCTTGTCCGCATCTCTGGGAGTCTTGGGTGAACGGCCTCCTGCAGCAGGTGACTCTATCTCGCACTTGTCCGCCCGAGACTCACCAACTGTTGAGGTGGTAAACTGATTACTGCTCTATCTGACCTGACCTGACCTAACCCTAATTTAACTTTAACCTAATCTTAATCTAACCTGACCTAACTTAACCTAACCTGACCCAATCCAGAGTCATACCCAGCGATTTTTGCCCCTGGACAAGTCTTAACAGTTAATTCACTCCCCACTAGATGCTGTCCAGTTAATTCACTCCCCACTAGATGCTGTCCAGTTAATTCACTCCCACTAGATGCTGTCCAGTTAATTCACTCCCACTAGATGCTGTCCAGTTAATTCACTCCCACTAGATGCTGTCCAGTTAATTCACTCCCAACCAGATGCCGTCCAGTTAATTCACCACCAGATGCCGTCCAGTTAATTCACTCCCCACTCAGATGCTGTCCAGTTAATTCACCCCACTAGATGCTGTCCAGTTAATTCACTCCCACTAGATGCTGTCCAGTTAATTCACTCCCACTAGATGCTGTCCAGTTAATTCACTCCCACTAGATGCTGTCCAGTTAATTCACTCCCCACTAGATGCTGTCCAGTTAATTCTCCAAAGTCCAGACAATTTGGCGGGAAATATGGTCAGGCTTTTTGACGGTTCATTGTATATTATATTGAGGAAACTATTGTATATAATTCCAGGCCATCAGATGGTTGAGACCAGTTGACTGTTGTTTCCTCTACTGTAATCTGGTAAATTAGTTTATATAAAAAACTGATGACCAATATACTGAGCCACTACACTGTACTGTCTGACCTACACTGTACTGTGACCTACACTGTACTGTCTGACCTACACTGTACTGTCTGACCTACACTGTACTGTCTGACCTACACTGTACTGTCTGACCTACACTGTACTGTCTGACCTACACTGTGCTGTCTGACCTACACTGTACTGTCTGACCTACACTGTACTGTCTGACCTACACTGTACTGTCTGACCTACACTGTACTGTCTGACCTACACTGTGCTGTCTGACCTACACCTGTACTGTCTGACCTACACTGTACTGTGACCTACACTGTACTGTCTGACCTACACTGTGCTGTCTGACCTACACTGTGCTGTACTGTGACCTGCACTGTCACACTGTCTGACCTACACTGTACTGGCCTGACCTACACTGTACCGTCTGACCTACACTGTACTGGGCACTACTGTTGTCCCTATAACTCACCCTTGAAGGTTTAACTCACCCTTGAAGGATTAACTCACCCTGAAGGTTTAACTCACCCTGAAGGTTTAACTCTTGAAGGTTTAACTCACCCTTGAAGGATTAATCACCCTTGAAGGTTTAACTCACCCTTGAAGGTTTAACTCACCCTTGAAGGTTTAACTCACCCTTGAAGGATTAACTCACCCTTGAAGTTTAACTCACCCTTGAAGGTTTAACTCACCCTTGAAGGTTTAACTCACCCTTGAAGGTTTAACTCACCCTTGAAGGTTTAACTCACCCTTGAAGGTTTAACTCACCCTTGAAGGTTTAACTCACCCTTGAAGGATTAACTCACCCTTGAAGGTTTAACTCACCCTTGAAGGTTTAACTCACCCTAGAAGGTTTAACTCACCCTTGAAGGTTTAACTCACCCTTGAAGGTTTAACTCACCCTTGAAAGTCTCTGGGTTGAAATCAGGAGGAAAGAACTTGGATCCTTGCAGTGTGGAGGAGGGTGTCAGTGAGGGTGTCTGGTGAGGGGTGACACTCATGGGAGTATCTGAGCCTGACTCTTCACCACCTGCTGAAGAAAACACTATTAGTACCACTTATACTCTACCTTATACTGTGGTAACACTTCTACTCTACCTTATACTGTGGTAACACTTCTACTCTACCTTATACTGTGGTAACACTTCTACTCTACCTTATACTGTGGTAACACTTATACTCTACCTTATACTGTGGTAACACTTCTACTCTACCTTATACTGTGGTAACACTTCTACTCTACCTTATACTGTGCTAACACTTCTACTCTACCTTATACTGTGGTAACACTTCTACTCTACCTTATACTGTGGTAACACTTATACTCTACCTTATACTGTGGTAACACTTCTACTCTACCTTATACTGTGGTAACACTTCTACTCTACCTTATACTGTGGTAACACTTATACTCTACCTTATACTGTGGTAACACTTCTACTCTACCTTATACTGTGCTAACACTTCTACTCTACCTTATACTGTGGTAACACTTCTACTCTACCTTATACTGTGGTAACACTTCTACTCTACCTTATACTGTGGTAACACTTCTACTCTACCTTATACTGTGGTAACACTTCTACTCTACCTTATACTGTGCTAACACTTCTACTCTACCTTATACTGTGCTAATCAGAGTCGCCCCGGACCCTTACCTCACCCAGTTAGTGATTGCGTTAAGCTGACCTCACCTTACCACCCAGACTGAGAACAATGTCATTCTTTACTGTGCTCTCTGTCAAAGAGGAGTGTTGACAGTGGTCACCTGTACAGTGGTCACCTGTCAGTGTTGTCCAAACTCTGAATCTCCAGTTGTCCGTAATTTGTGTTTTGTGAAATTGTTGATATGCATTATTTTACTGTCGTACACAGCCCTCTATCATTCCGTGGCCAGCAGGAACAGAGACAAAGACATCTCAGGTGCAGAGAAAAGGAATAGAGAACAAATCAAAATGTTAATGAAAAGTTCCCTAGAAAAATATGTGTTTTAAAACCACCAGAAACCAATGCAAAAAGAACCTGAGCGACTGTGACGGTGTGGAGGAGAGTACCGAACAAATACTAAGGCTTTTAAAATGGACAGTAGTACCTACGCTAACAGTCAGGATGATGAAGATCTATGTGATCCAGTTGGCCAAGTTACTGGACACTACCACAACAGATATTTTGGAAGAAAAAGAACCTGAGCGACTGTGACGGTGTGGAGGAGAGTACCGAACAAATACTAAGGCTTTTCAAATGGACAGTAGTACCTACGCTAACAGTCAGGATGATGAAGATCTATGTGATCCAGTTGGCCACGTTACTGGACACTACCACAACAGATATTTTGGAAGAAAAAGGACCCGAGCGACTGTGACGGTGTGGAGGAGAGTACCGAACAAATACTAAGGCTTTTAAAATGGACAGTAGTACCTACGCTAACAGTCAGGATGATGAAGATCTATGTGATCCAGTTGGCCACATTACTGGACACTACCACAACAGATATTTTGGAAGAAAAAGATGACCTATTAAGTTATCTGGTGAAAATTATGTGTTTCTAAAAAAAATGGTGAAAACCGACACTTTTCAGAAGACTATTACATGTGAATATTGACAAATGGAGAATATATGATGGAGGTTGGCTTATATCCACCAAGAAGGTTGATGGAAGCTGGTTTATATCCACCAAGAAGGTTGATGGAAGTTGGCTTATATCCACCAAGAAGGTTGTTGTACTGTACGGCCAATATATAATATATTTTCCGCTTCTACTCGTACATGGCAAGTGCTAAGAAGACATGTTCACTCTGAGTCCATACCATTACCATAGGCATGTTCACTCTGAGTCCATACCATTACCATAAACTGGGTGGGACTGTTGAGTGAGTGTGTGAAAGACATCAGCTACCAGACAAGTAAATGAAATTTATAATAAAAATAAAATATTAATGATAATAATAATAATAACACTGTGATATTAATAATAATAATAATAAATACAAAGAAATACAAGAATGAAAAAAGTCAATAGTGAGAAACGCTATATGTATGTTGTGTTGTCATGTAATAGGAACAATTGAGACCTTGCAATTGTGTGTAAATGAGGCAGAAAGACAGATCAGCAACCTGAGACTTGGTCACAATTTTCGTGATGCCATATGGCAGCAGAGTCTACCATGTGACAACACATTATGTTTCCAATATCTTCCCAGGCGGTAGGACCTCCCTGTTTGGTAGATGTCTACTACCTACAGGGTAGTACAATACAATAACTCAAGTGAAGCAGAGTCCTTGGCCAAGTGAAGCAGAGTCCTTGGCCAAGTGAAGCAGAGTCCTTGACCAAGTGAAGCAGAGTCCTTGGCCAAGTGAAGCAGAGTCCTTGGCCAAGTGAAGCAGAGTCCTTGGCCAAGTGAAGCAGAGTCCTTGGCCAAGTGAAGCAGAGTCCTTGGCCAAGTGAAGCAGAGTCCTTGGTCAAGTGAAGCAGAGTCCTTGGCCAAGTGAAGCAGAGTCCTTGGTCAAGTGAAGCAGAGTCCTTGGCCAAGTGAAGCAGAGTCCTTGGCCAAGTGAAGCAGAGTCCTTGGCCAAGTGAAGCAGAGTCCTTGGCCTGCTACAAACTCCAAAACTTTGAATTTCTTTAAGGAATGATTGTATGGTATGACATCCTGTTTGCTGTAAACACTGTGAGTAAGACTCTTCAGTAGAGAGACATGCAGCGAGATATGGCCATCAAGACCATTCAAGGAGTTACTGCAGAAATACAGGAACACTGGATTTGCCTCAGCCAAGACGACAGCAGACAAAATAGCATTCGGGATGGAGATCGAACCTGTACTAAAGGATCGCCGAGTAAAACAACGACAACGACGTCCATCTGACAAGAAGGATGATTCACAAAACTCCCCAGAGAAAACATTTGAAAGAAATTACTCTTTGGTCATTGTTGATCAGGCAATAATGTCACTGACAACAAGATTTAAGCAGATACAAGAGTATGCCAGTAACTTTGGTTTCCTGTGAAGAAACTTTGAGAAATGGAAGACAACATGAAGATGCAGTGTATAGCTTTGGACAACTCACCGAGTGTTTGAGATTCTTAAGCTATTGACGGAGAAGACCTATAGCCTCGCGTACTCCGAGAAATCATTCCCCAAGAAACAAAAAGTACACTTAAGTCTTTCGGTTTCTAAAACCTCCCGATGGTTCCTTCTCAAACACAGAAATTGAATATAAGATTTTGTTGACAATTCCACTCACAGTTGCATTAGGAGAGCGAAGTTTTTTCCAAATTTAAATTAATAAAAACTAAGAATAACTATGTCTCAAGAAAGGTCGAGTGAACCAACTATGTCTCAAGAAAGGTCGAGTGAACTGGCTATGTCTCAAGAAAGGTCGAGTGAACCAACTATGTCTCAAGAAAGGTCGAGTGAACTGGCTATGTCTCAAGAAAGGTCGAGTGAACCGGCTATGTCTCAAGAAAGGTCGAGTGAACTGGCTATGTCTCAAGAAAGGTCAAGTGAACCAACTATGTCTCAAGAAAGGTCGAGTGAACCGGCTATGATTTCCATTGAAAAGGAATCGGCAACAAATTTTGAGTATGAGGATCTAATGGCAGAGTTAGGTACCAAAAAGATGAGGAAAGTGAATTGTATAAAGCAGGCAGCTGTGAAAATGAACCTGTTTTTTATGTCATGATATTGATGTTTAAGTTGACAAAATTATTAAATAAACAGGTTCAGAATATAAGAGAATTACATTTCATTTTTTTTTGTTTTAGACTATAACAGTAAATTATGAATAGTTGTTACAGTTCACAAATATAATATATACAAATTTATCTTTTAGAATATGTTATAATATAAATCACATAATAATTGATGTAGTTATAGTATGATTGAGGAATTAACAATATGTATATTACAGTATGTATGTATGTAACTAGATAAATGTAATATAAAGACTACTAAAGGGACCCTCAGTGTATGAATTGCCCTGGGACCCACACCCCTCTAGGGACGGCTCTGGTACTGAAACTGTACAGGTGTTCCTCTACTTAAGAACGTTCAACAAAGTGTACAGGTGGTCCTCTACTTAAGAACGTTCAACAAAGTGTACAGGTGGTCCTCTACTTAAGAACGTTCAACAAGGTGTACAGGTGGTCCTCTACTTAAGAACGTTCAACAAAGTGTACAGGTGTTCCTCTGCATAAGAACGTTCAACAAAGTGTACAAGTGGTCCTCTACTTAAGAACGTTCAACAAGGTGTACAGGTGTTCCTCTACATAAGAACGTTCAACAAAGTGTACAAGTGGTCCTCTACTTAAGAACGTTCAACAAGGTGTACAGGTGGTCCTCTACTTAAGAACGTTCAACAAAGTGTACAGGTGGTCCTCTACTTAAGAACGTTCAACAAGGTGTACAGGTGTTCCTCTACATAAGAACGTTCAACAAAGTGTACAAGTTCTCCTCTACTTAAGAACGTTCAACTTACAAACTTTCACAGATACAAACATCATCACTGAGGGGGTTACCTGCCAGAACAGGTGTTTAATGTGAATGAGACTGGATTATTTTGAAGATAATTCCAGATAGAACAAATATTACCTAGAAGAGTGAGCCAGGTTTTAAGGCTGTATTAAAGGCTATAGCTCTACTAAATATCCACAATCTTTTCATTTTTTACAATATGTTTGGTATCTACAGGAGTAAAGTTGGATTTACAAACAATTGGACTTATAAACGAGCCTCAGGAACTTAACTCATTGGTAAGTAGAGGAGTACCTGTACTACTTAAATGTACTTACAAATACAGTACTTATTACTACTACTGTACTTATACATATATATCTACTCTATCACCAATACTGTACTCTAAAACTAACACGAACTCTATCATCAATACTGTACTCTACAACTAACACGAACTCTATCACCAATACTGTACTCTAAAACTAACACGAACTCTATCACCAATACTGTACTCTACAACTAACACGAACTCTATCACCAATACTGTACTCTACAACTAACACGAACTCTATCACCAATACTGTACTCTACAACTAACACGAACTCTATCACCAATACTGTACTCTACAACTAACACGAACTCTATCACCAATACTGTACTCAAAACTAACACTAACTCTATCAACAATACTGTACTCTACAACTATCACTTAACCTATCACCAATACTGTACTCTACAACTAACACCTAACTCTATCACCAATAATTGCACTCTACAACTAACACTAACTCTATCACCACACTGTACTCTAAAACTAACACCTAACTCTATCACCAATACTATACTTCAAAACTACCTAACTCTATCACCAATACTGTACTCTCTACAACTAACACGAACTCTATCACCAATACTGTACTCTACAACTAACACGAACTCTATCACCAATACTGTACTCTACAACTAACACGAACTCTATCACCAATACTGTACTCTACTTACTGGAATGTTTACGTTTTTTCCTGTAAGACGTAATAAAGGTCCGCGGGGAGGAAGGTACGGAGGGCCCAGTGCTAGCGTTGACACTGGGGGACTGGACCTCGTCAGGGTTAAACTCGGGCAGCGCTCCGAACTTCTGCTCGAAATTCACCTCTTCAAGGACCCTGATATACAAGATGGGTGTTAATTACTTGGTGTAGGGTGGGTAGTGTAGGGTGTGTAGGGTGGGGTGTAGGTTAGGTTATACAACGTACTTGTCCATGCCATCCTCAATATTTTTCTTAAAGAAACTCTTCTTCTCACTAGGTGATGGTGGAACAGAGACCATCTGCTGGGTGGTCGTCTGTACTGATGAGTCGCCCTCTGAAGCATTACTCAACACCGGAGATACCTTACTGTCTCCGCTGGGGTGGTGCGGAGGAGCCATCTTTACGTCCGGAGATAACTGTGGTGCAGTGTCTCCTATAGATGATATTTGCCCTGGAATAACATCATTACTACAGTATCTGCAACATTCAATAAATCCAGAGATTAAAACCTATTTTTTTTTGGTTACGCTAGACAATAAACCACAGTCAGCGTTAAAAGATTTACCTGAAGAGTTGAGTCGCTTTTGTCTAGGGGCCTTGCCGAGCTGTGCCGGCGTAGGAGCCAAAATAAACTTTGGTTTGTCGTCTAATTCTTCGTCGTCTAAAGGTCTTCCTCCTGGCACTGCTACAGGTATACTAGCAACCTGGGCTTTAACTTTCTGTTGCTGCTGCTGCTGCTGCTGCTGCTGCTGCTGCTGCTGCTGCTGCTGTTGTTGTACTTGTTGTTGCTGTTGTTGTTGAAGCTGTTGAGATGGAGACAACTGCTGCATGGGAAGAGTTATGGCAGCCAGAGAACCC